ATAAATAATCAGTGATGCCCAAACCTTGGTCCTCCAGGTGTTTTGGACTTCAGCTCCCAGGATTCTTAACTTTCAGCCATAATGAGTGGAGCTTCTGGGAGTTGAAGTCCATAACACCTGGAGGACCAAGGTTTGGGCATCACTGATTTAGATGAAGATGATGATGATGATTTAGAGCAGTGATTCCAAAACTTTAGTCCCAGAAGCCTCATATCCCAGAAGCCCCAGCCATATGTAGCCAACAGTCTGGAATTCTGGGATCTGAAGTCCAGGATCCTAGAATTCCAGACTGTCGGCTATGTATGGCTGGGGCTTCTGGGATCTGAGGCTTCTGGGACTAAAGTTTTGGAATCACTGCTCTAAATCATTATCATCTCCATCTCATTCCAAATATCATTCATTCCTTCATCTCTTTTGTATAGCTCTTCTGTGTATTGCCTCCAGTGTCTTTTTATTTCTTCTTGTTCCTGTATTATGTTCTTTTTTCCCCCATAGAGCATCCCTGCCCTCGGTTTGAACTTGGCATTAATTTCTCGGATTTTTTTATAGCAGTCTCTCGTTTTCCCCTTTTTGTTGTTGTCTTCTATTTCTTTGCATTGGTCATTGTGGTATTTCTCCTTATCCCTGTGTGTCAGACATTGGACAGTTGTGTTCATACTTCTGGATTTGTTCCTATCTCCCTTTGCTTTTTTTCTTCTTTCTTTTATTGCATGAAGTGTTTCACCTGTCATCCATTATTTCTTAACCTTCTTTTCGGCCACTGTTAGTGTTTTCTTGCATTTGTCCTTAATTATGTCTTTTGACTTCTGTCCACAGTTCTTCAGGTTCCCAGTTGATTATACTCAGTAGTCCAAATCTGTTTCTTACATTGTCCTTGAATTCATCTGAAATGTTATTCAGGTCATATTTTGGTATAATGAGAGTTTTTGCTTTCTTCTTCAGCTTAACTCTAATTTTTGTTATGAGCAGTTCATGGTCTGTGCCACAATCAGCTCCTGGTCTGGTTTTGGCCACAAGGATAGAGTTTCTCCATCTTCTACTTCCATTTATGTAGTCTATCTGGTTTTTGTGTTGACCATCTGGTGACGTCCAAGTGTATAGTCTCCTATCTGGATGTATAAAGCAGGTATTTGCAATGAATAGTTATTGGCCTCACAGAATTCTATCAGACGCTCTCCTGCTTTATTTCTTGTTCCTAATCCAAATCTTCCTACTGTTTTTGATTCTTCTTTGTTGCCAACTTTAGCATTCAAGTCTCCAATGATTAGTTTGAAATCTTGTGTTGGTATGTTGTCAATTTCTTCCTGGACTGCATCATAGAACCTCTCAATTTCCTCCTCCTCTGCATCTGTGGTTGGTGCATAAACCTGGATTATTGTGATGTTTATAGGTTTACCCTGAAGCCTTATTGATAATATACGGTCTGACTTTGAGTTGTATCCTTTTGAGTATTCTAGCTATATCTTTCCTTAGTATGAAAGCCACCCCATTTCATTTTCTGAATAGATTACTGTGTAGTTGTCTGAGTTAAAGTGACCCATTCCTGTCCATTTTAATTCACTTACTCCTAGTATTGCTATATTCATGCCTTCCATTTCTTTCTTTACTATGTCTATTTTTCCTTGGCTCATGCTTCTCATGTTCCATGTTCCAATTACATGTGTAGTGTTGCTTCTAACTATGCTTGTTTTATCTGAAAGTGCCAGCCACAGATGCTGGCAAAACGTCAGGAAGAAACTCTTCTAGAAGATGGCTACAAAGCCCCAAAAACCCACCAAAAAAAAAATGCTTGTTTTATTGGAC